ATGTATGCTTAAACAAACCATGGCTTTTTGTCTCCCTATTTGTTCTTCACACCATTAATTTCTTAGTGTTTAGTTTTCTCCACAGCTTTCTCGCAAGTAATTTTATTTTATTTTAAACAAAGTCTCAATTCAGTGAGGGCTGGAACACTCTGTGCAACTCAGACTAATCCTAAAACTCAACTTTCCCACCTCAGTTTCCTGAGGATTGGAATGGCATGAGCGCACTACCACACGTGGCTGAAGTTTTCTTTTGTAATGGGAATGATGCTTCTAAAAATAAAATCTGACCACGGCAAGGTATGTTTATGAAACATTTAACTTATCTCCATTTTTGAAAATGCAAATATTCAAAACCTTTTATGGCAACATTGCTTCATCTTTGTCTCATCTTCTCCCATCTTCCCAAGTGCATCCTGCCTTTTGCACAGAAATGAGGTGTTCTGAAAATTGATAAAAAGAGTTTGCCACTGGAAACTACATTCTCTCTGCTTGGAATTTCTTCTTCAACCCCAGCCAACAACTTCTTAAACAACCTCTCTTGTCCAGACTAAGCATCACCTTTTCTGAGAAGCCTTTGTTGGCATTCAACTAACAATTACAATAATATGACACACTGTTCAAGAGGGCATAATGGAAATATGCAGGATGGGAATCTAAGAAATCCTTTTTAGGCCAAGGAGAATTTAATAATTGTGGAAGATAAGATTTTGAAGATGAGGTGATCATATGCAGGTTATAAGGCAAAGTGCTTGTCCCAGAAAGTGAAGGAGCAAATTGATCCCAGGGTGGAAGCTGTTTCTATGGCCTTGATAAAAATGCAAACCATTTAAGCTAAGGCAGTACAAATGAGACATACATGAAAAATATAAAAGACACACTTCAGTGTAAATATTTCAACAGAGGAAAGAGGGAGAAAAGGAGGAAGCAGAGTAGAGAAAAAGAAGTGAAGGGGGATAGAGATAGAAATTTCAGAAAAAAAAATGTTCTGCGCTGCTTTCCTTTCTGTTTGCATAAATAGGAACCACTGACTTTAGTTGTCTGCCATCCATCTAATTTACTTTTGTCTGTGTGTATCACGTTGTTTTTTCTTGTAATAATATCTAAAGTTGAGCAAAAAAGGAAGATACAAATTTTTGTAGTAGCACTCATTGCTAATTTCTGCAGTTCATCAAAGACACAGATTCTCCTCAGATGCTCCTTATTTCTCTGCCTTTTCTTCAGACTCAGTTTCTTTGGTTTTGGTCTTTTTTGGGGTTTAGTTGTTGTTGTTGTTTGCGAGGAAGGTGAACTTTTGTTTTTCCTGTCATCCAAGAGCAGTGACCGGCAGAGGTAAAGTTAGTGATAGTTTGGAGCAGCAGGTCAAGCCTTGCCGTACTTGGAAGTAATCTTCAAACACTGACTCAGAAAGCCTCAAAGGGCTGACTTTAGACAGCCTGTCTCAGAAGTGTGAGGACACCTCTCCAAAGAATGAGCCTCCCCCATGGATGCTGCCCTCTTTCCCTGTCTCACTCTCCTCCAGCAATGACTATATCCTGGGCATCCACTGTGTTCTAGACCTCATCTACCTGTCTGCTTATTGGTTCTGCCCAGCATCAGCATCATTTTTTTTTTATTTACTCCCATCTAGTTTTGTTTTGGTAGAGGAAGGAAAGAAGTCTCCAGGAATTAAGCTTTTTTATTTGAGATTCATTACTTGAAATCTAATTGATAACTCTTAAAATTTTCATTTACATTTAGAGTTACAGAATGAACATTTAAAAAAGTAGCATATCTAAATGCCTAAATTACTCTAGTGTTTATCCCTGTTCTCATTCTCTTTTAAAATGTGCTTGCATATAGCTTTGGGTTTACATGTTCCTTGTTTTCTTTTAAATAGGGAGAGACAAAGACAATCCTGTGATAAATGACGTTAAGATTCAAGAAAGGTTTTTCTGTGTCTGGTGTGTGTCTCACATCTGATTATATGAAAATGTTTAGAAAAAGCTTTTCCGGTGCTAAAAGATTCTATGCAATAATTATACAATAATCACAAACTATTGGGAACATATCAAAAAAAGAGAAATTGGTATTCAAATTAGATATATGAAATATAAAAGCTGAAACTAACTTCTTTAAACATCACTAATATATCATCAGAAAGATTGTCTTATGGCATTAAAGATAGATTTTTCATGTTTTTGTCAAAAATCTTGTTTAATATATTTTGATCTTATTATTTTACATCCCTCAACTCTTCACACTCACACCGCTAGAAAAGCAAAGAATTAATTTACTCCAAAGGAAGGACACTAGATATGTCAACCATACTCTAGGGCAGATACCATGGCAGGAGTAATGGCCAACACAAAGAGGACCCCATGTTTTATATATCCCTTTGTTTGGCTTGGTAAAGACACATCTAAGTCTGAATAGCCTAGCATTTCTATCCAGGCTGTTAATTCAACTTACACCAGTCTATTTCTTTGAACACCAGGTGGCAGTAAGTGAAGCATTTATCAAAGATGAGGAAGTGAAGTTTGAACATCTTGAATTCAAAATATATACAGTATCTACAGCATGCTAGAATTTATAACAGGAAAGAAATATTTCTGATCACGAGCTCTAACGTCAAAGTAATATTCATTTCTTTGGCCTCCATTCAACTAAGCATCCTTTAAGGGTGTCTTTTAACTTCTTCAAGTCACATGTTTCAGTGAAATTATACAGTTTTCCTAATTCTAAATGTTGCATAAATTAATAAAAAGAAATGAAAAGTGCCAATAAATAAAAATGCCTTGATATAATTTGGCACAAATGTTTTTATTTATATAGCAAAGAACTAAAATAAATAGACATTTGGGGACCTGTCCAAGACAATTGACCAACCAGGAAATGGCTTTATACTCTGCTCACTACACACTGATGTGTGTCATTTTTCTTCTTTACTTACTTACTTCGTTCTCGGGTCTAATTGTGAATAAATGAGCTGATGACAGGTTGATGTGCTTAGGGTTTATTTTGTTCTTCTACAGATATCAAATTTTATTTTCAACTCGGGTGATATTTTCTGACTTGCATTTATTGTACTTGTGAGACAGAGTAGCAAACTTCTCTGTGGGAATAACAAAGCCTGGTACTCAGCACCTGCTCCAGAGTCAAGGGATCTAAAGCAATAGCTCTGGTCTTTCTTAACTGTGTCTTCAAGGGAGATGGGTAAATATAACTTCTTCTGTTTTAACAATTCTACCTGGGGTGGAGAGGGGATAAAGATGGAGAGGAGATGTCAACAAGATCTGTTGTGTAGAAGAAATGAGTTTAACAATATTTATAATTTTATTCCAATTCCTGAGAATCAAAATGAAGGTAAACACAGTGGAGTTGAACCATGAGAAGTTCTGCTGTTTGTGTGACCAGTTTCAAATGATATAGTAGTTAAATTGACTCTGAAAGGATCCTGAAATTACCAGATCTTAACCAATCCTTGGTGTGTTTATTTTGTTATATTTTATTCATTGTTCTGTCTCTCTGGCATTGCCTTATTAGGAAAACAAGATCACCAGTCTGCTTGATTTTGGTGCCTGTTTTCTTCATCACTTTTATATCTGCAATCACATTGCCCTACCTGTTCCTTGGAACATTGACTCTACTTACATTAACTGACTGTACAATGTTGAACTAAACTGCTACAACACTGGAAGACAGACACAAGGATGGGCTATTACTCCTGTCCAGCCTGAGACACTTCAGTTGCTAGCTAGTGGTTCTGGCTTCCTGGGTATCAGTGTCTCATTAGCTGGTTAATTCAACCTTCAATTGCTTCAGCTTAGTTACCTAGAAAACATAGCATTGCCATTAGAGGAATAAATATCTTAGAGAATTCCTTCTTCTTCCTCATGACTCTGGAACAGAAATGGTTAATGGTCAGAACAGCCATGTTGCTTTCCTGACCAAGGCAATATTGACTGCTATTTTACAGTTGATAATCCGCATTGCCCTCCTTCTCCGCATCTTCTTCCATGCCTTGTTCATACAACCGCACTACCACTTCAGTTCAATGGATGTATTATAGACAAATAGAACTTATGGTTTTCAGATGGCCACCTCCCTTCACTGCAAATAAACCCTTTTCATTCTGCAGGCCTCAATCTGACATTTCAATCGATAGTTTCCATGAATGAGAAGGGTCCTAACAGACTTTCCTTTATTCTCCCTCTCGCACCAACCTCTCCTAATTCAATGCTTCATACCATTCATCTCCTTCTCCATTTCTCTGTACTTTTCGACATAGGAAATGACCTGGTGGTCATGGTTCTCTCTCTGACTCACTTCTCCTTGGCTTTTGCTGATATCGTGTTTTATCCAAGGTGTGTTCTGTGTCTTTTATGTGAGAATTCGGAGTAATCTCATTTTCCTGTCTTTATTGGCTACCAGGCTCCATCTTCTTTGACAGAAGGGTTGAGTCTCAAAGCGGGTCAGTACTGCATGTCAGTGAGGAGTCCCATGAAGGATTTTATTCCAACGAGTTTAGTTTAGGCTATTTTGAAAAGTGCAGGTGTTTGATAATTTGTAATTCAGATCTATCTTGACTGTGAGCATTCATTTGTAGTATGTTTCTAATAAAAATATGTGATAGTAAATCATAGTTCAAAGAAGACATATCTGTGTTTCTAGCTAGGGCACTAGAGCCTTCAAGGCGATGGTGAAATTTGGTTTCTGACCAGCAGCTATCAGAAAGAATTCTCCGACAGAAGACTATTTTGAGGGAACATTCAGTTCGTCTGGAAGGAGCACATAAAGCCTGTCATCTGGAATATTCCATGTACCATGGAGTAATTAGCTTCTCATGATGCAAAAATAGCAGCACCAACTCAAGCTCGCAAGGGATCCTTTGTGAGCATAAATTAAATAAAGTCCAGTACTTTTATCATTAATCTCAGTGACCAAAGCTAAGAGCAATTTTAAAGGCTAAATCTTTTATTTTTCTGATTTAAACAGTATTTTGTACTTGTTTATTGTTCACATGCAAAAGTGTGTGCCTGAGTGCATACACAAATGCTCCACAGCATGGAAGGGAAGATTAGAGGACAAAGTTTGGGACCCAGTTCTTTTCTTTGCTAAATGAGTTGAGGGGGGGTAGATATAAGCCAGGTCCTCAGGCTCGGCAGAAACCAGCTTTATCTTCTGAGCCATCTCAACAGCCATATTTTTCTGAATATTTTTATGAAAACATTCTACCCACTATGTATTTTATATGATATAGTTTCTTATTCATCAAATGATACATTCTTAGAAGAATCTGGTGGCAAATAAGTTTATTTCAATGTCACCAAAAATGGGCCTTCAAGTTACAATGTGTGGCATTCTATCCAAAATTTTAAGTACATTCTGCTTGAAAGAAAGCTGATATGTTGAAGGACTGTTTCTTCCTGGAGTCGATCCCAGTCCTGTGCGGAGAACTGCAGAGGGATGGAGAGAAACAGAGTGCTTATTTTTAACTCCTTCTTGTAGCAATTTAAGTTAATTCTTATAAAAATGCAGGACACATGGTAAATATGTTTTTTAAATTGCATAAAAACTAAATACATATCAAAATAAAAAATCCATGACATTAAAGATGCCATGGTTGTTATTCACATCATAGAAAATTGTGTTGTAGGGCTCTTTATAATGATAAACTTAGTACATAGTAATAAAACAACTCCTAATTACATAGTTCTATATGCATACATCAGCACTTCACTCATCTAGATCAGAGATATGCCTCCTTGTAGTAGATGGTAATTAACTCAGAGACTCACTACTGGAAAATATCCAGAGTTTGATAGACATTGGAGCACTCATTCCTAAGTGGTATGTCATCATCAAACCCATCCCTCAAGGTTCAGGGGTTTCTGTGGAAGAGAAGACAGAAATATTTTAAGAGCCAAGGTAATGGATGACTCCCAGAAAACAGTGTCTTCCTGATACAACAAGACTGATGTGCTTATGACTTCACAGAGACTATGACAGCATGTACAATATCTGTGTTTTAATAAGGCCGCTAGTTAGTTCCTGGCTGCTCAGCCCCAAAGTAATCACTCGGAAACTATGTTATTTGCAATACTGTTCGGCCAATAGCTTAAGCGTATTTCTGGCTAACTCTTACATTTTAATTTAACCCTTTTCTATTAACCTATGTATCGCCACATAGCTGTGACTTATCGACAAAATGCCAGCATCTGTCTCTGGGGGGGGGGGGGGGGGGCTACATGGCTTCTCCCTGACTCTGCTCTTCTTTCCCCCAGCGTTCAGTTTAGTGTTCCCCGCCTAGCTCTGTTCTACTCTGTTCTACTTTATCAGGCCAAGCCAGTTACTTTATTAACCAATGGATTCACAGCATACAGAGGGGAATCCCACATCATACCTATATAACTTCAGTTAGATGAAGTCCCAGTACCAAAATTGGAATTGGACATGGGGTCCCACCTCTAACCAAGAAGTCATTTGCAACTGGTACCCAAGAAAAATCACTGGATATCTCCACCACTTCAGGCAGATGGCCCCACATCTAGGAGTAGTTGGCTAAACCAAGACAAACTTCAACTCCTCCTATCCATGGACTTTTTGTGTGTTTTTTTCTTTTGCTGTTTTTTATTCGTTTTTTTCTGTTATTGGGTTTTTGTGATTAGTAGTTTGATTTTCATTTTTATGGTTTATATTTGTTTTGGTTTTGTTTTTGAAAAAAGAGAAATCCAGAGAGTAAAAGAACATATGGCTGGTCACCTAGGAAGATGAACATGATCTGTGAGGAAATGGAAAATAGGAAAGGACAAAGTCAAAATAGGATATGTGAAAAATGTCTAATTAGTAATAAAAAATTTAATACTTACTAAGAACTCTCAAACCAGTCCACATTTACACATCAAAAAATTGAACCACTGGGTTTCTATTGGTAACCACAGCTTTACTTAAGTCCCAAAGTTCTTAAGAACTCTGAAAACATATTGTAAATATAGTATTATTGAGAACATTTTACCTTCTTTCTCAAACATCCTTTGTTTTTTAGAAAGTGTCATGAAGATCAGAGATTGGCCTGTAGCTCATTATATTACATAATGATGGCCTTGAACTTCTGATCTCCCTGTTTCTATCTGCCAAGTACTTGAATTATGGGTGTGTTCTACCATGTCCAAATTCTGTAAGGTTGAGGTCTGAACCCACAGCTTTGTGAATGTACAAGAAACATTTTACGATCTGGCCTATGCCATCAGACATTGCTCTGTTTTCTTTTCTTTGTTGTTCTATTTTCTTCTTCTCCTATCACTGTGTTCATATTTTATTCTATTATGGAAAGGTGACATATTGCAGAATTTTCTGTCCTTTTATCGATGCTTTAGTCAAGATGGCCAACCCCTGGGAGCAATGAAGACATGAATTAATAAACTACAGTAGCTCCATATGGACAGCACTTCAGTGCTCTAAAGAAGTGATCCTTTAAGCAATGTAGGGTCATCAGTTTTAATAGACGCAGGGCGTTGGTGAAGACGTTGATAATGAAAGGATTCTATGCACATCTGGGAACAAGAGATTTGTAGACAATCTCTAAAAGACCTTCTCAGTGTTGCTGGGAACCTAAAATTGCTCTGCAGTTAGAGTTGCAAGATTCTGGGAGTGTGACATTGTTGCTTCCATCACCATCGAACTCTTCCTACATCTGAAATCAACCAAGGAAGAGGTGACTTGTCCAGCAAGTGGTTTTGAGAATCACAGACAAAGGAACTACTTCTCCAGAGAACAAACTCAAAAAATTATTTGCCTGTCCAGAGAACAAATAAAAAATTGTTTTCCTGTATAGGATGCAATATCCAAGCTCCCGCAACCCCCACCCCTTCCTCCAAAGCAGCAGGCCACGTGGATCTGGGGTTTCAAACCATGAGTACTGACTGAACTTCTGCAGTAGGAAACAAGGGAGCAAAGAAAGGTACTGCAGAAAAAGCCCTCCTACCTAAACTCATCTACGCCCTGTACTTTCTGAAAGCTGGGTCCTTAAGTCCACCGTGCCTCCGAATCCACCATCCTCTGATGATGGATTTTTTGTTGCCTCTCTTTAAGGAATATAATTTATTGCTTTTCCTGTCAAGTTTCTGTGTAACACAAGTGCAGACACAGCACACACACACACACACACACACACACACACACACACACACAGAGAGAGAGAGAGAGAGAGAGAGAGAGAGAGAGAGAGAGAGAGAGAGAGAGAGAGGTGCTGGACAGGGCTCTGCTCTGAAATTCCTTGGGGCAAATTGTGTGTTAAGGTAAGAGATCTAAAGTCTCCCTATCTAGACCTTCACTGTTTGCAGTCCTCCTTCAAAAAGAAATATACATTATTTACGTATTTAGAAGACCACACCCGTCTCTTACAAGAAGCAGGTAGAAAACAAAGACTACAGGTGGGTTTTGAGTACCACTACCCAGCTCTATCAAAGGCAAGCCCCATAGGAAGGAATAGTTCTTGGCCTCAACCTGGAGCCAGGGAGGAACCTGGAGCACAGTGCTTCGTTGCACCCTCTTCCCGAGCTCCAGCCCCTTGCTACTCTTCTCAACCTTGGAGTTTTTTTTTTTTTTTCAGGCTCAGTCATCAAGCCACAGAAAGTGGCTTCTCGGAAACATTAGCAGATTGCGCTGAACTGGAGGAAGGAAGGGCCTGGAGGGAGGAGGGGCGAGGTAAGAGAAGGGCTCTTTTATCTGCGGGGTCTCACAGGCGCAGGCTCGCACACACCCTACGAGCAAGGTGGCGGTGTATGCGGGGCTGTGCGATCCCTTCCTGTCCCCTTAAACTAGCCACAGTACAGAGGCTGCCGCATCCCGACCATCACCGCACCGCGCCCAACTGCTAGGTCTCCGCCCCGCGCGGTCTGCAGGGCTGGGCGGAGGGAGCGAGGGGTGGGGACCTGAGAGCCCAGGGAGCTTAGAGGAGGCCCAGCGACACTGCTGGCTGCCCGAGGGCGGGGTCGCCTCATCCAGGGCAGACGGGGAGCAGACTCGGTGCAGGCCTCCCCAACGCTCCAGTTGCGACTGAAGGCTCTCCAATCCTCCTGGCTAGCCTGGGTATCCGCGGCTGGTAGTAGCAGGCGCTCTGAGCAACAGGATTTGAAAGAAAGAAGCAGTGGCAAGAAAGAAGTGTGGGGAGAGAGGAAGAGTTCCCCTGGATAAGACTCTCGCAGGTGCACATCCCGGGTGGGCATGATCCGTGAGGCCAGGTCGCAGGTCAGTGAAAGTCTTTTTTTTTTTCTTGATCCTCCCTCGGATGTGGCAGAATGGGGACCTAAGGGTCTTCTTCCTTGTGCTCCCCTCAACTGCCACACCCACCTGTGTCTATTTTCACATAACTCGGATTTAGCCACCAAGTATTGCGCCACCAGGGTTTAAAAGTGGGTGGGTGGTCAGCGGAGAAAGAGATCCAACTACTTCAACCGGAAAGCTGCCCCCTCCCATACACACCCCTGCAGCTTCTCATCCTACCAGTTCTGGTAATGTGCAAAGAATAGGTAGCGATGCTTAATAATCTTTTTCTCTCCGGCTGCTCCGGCAGAGTTGTTACGTGGGTCTCAGTACCAGGGCCAGCTCATACTTCTTGACTAGAGAAAAGGCATATGCCCTACAGCTGTGTCTGCAAAGATGAGCACGCAAACGCAGATTAGCTGATTTACCTGGGAGAGACCAGAAAGGCTACGATCCCGGAAAAGCACTCACAGACAGATAATGGATCAGCTCCTTTCTCAACAGCTTATTTTTTCAGGCCAATCAGTACTGTATAATGGAACTTAGTACGTTATATTTCGACTATGTATGTACTACAACAGTGTGATCCAAACAAGATTATCAAGCAATAAACAAACAAAAAAAATCAATGCCAGCTTTTGTAATCATAGCAAAAAGTTTTACACATTTTTGTTTGTTTGTTTGTTTTGTTTTCTTGAGTTTAACATCCATAGTAAATAATCCGAATACAATGGCATTTTTTTTCTACAACGAAGCTTGGGGAATTTTTTTTCAAAGCTAGTTGAGAAAAGATAAAGACCAAATTAACATATGCTTTTACACAAATGATGGGATTTTCTGAAAGTGAGTCAGTGTTGGGGGAGGGGGTCTCTTCTGTCTAGAAGTATGCTCTTTTCTATCCCCTTTCCCTGTGCACTGGAAAAATATACCTTTTTCTTTCTGTTTTGGTCATTTTCATGTATTTAAACTAGTGTTTTCCTTCTTACCATTTAAAGTAAATGGGGTTTCTTTTTAAAAGTGTAATTTAAAAGAGACTTTTATTGGATTTCCATGTATGACATTATCAAGACAGCTAACTGTCTTGATAATTAGTTATCCTAATCATTCACTACAAGATGCTAGAGAAACTATGGAGTTTGATGTTATGGAAGACATACCAACCGTTTATAAAATTGATGCCAATTTTGTTTATGGTATTTTTTTTAAAAAAAAACCTACAGTTTTTAAAGGAACGTTTACTTTTAGAAGTAAACGATGGTGTCGCTGGCAGACAGCAGCACGCTGTCACGGAGGCCGGATATGCAGAAGGTGCGCCGTTTCTGGGATGTACGGCTGGGCTTTCCGTGTACCTGATGCTGCTCCTGGGGAGAGAGCTGAGTCAGGTTTGGACGTCTGCCAAAAACATCCAGCACCTCCTTATCCTTGCCCCAGCCCCTGGGGGAGCCGCAGGTGATCATGGGAGCCGTCTAGTCCTAAAGCTTCTGTGTTTCTTGCTACTTGTTGCTGAGGTGATTTGGCCACAAAGAAATTCAGAGGAGTCAGTGCGTTTTCTTCGGGGTATTTAACATGTTCAACTCACTTCGTCTACAGCAAGGGAAATCACTTTGAGCATTCGCATCGATAACAAAACCTATTTGATCTACTTGTATTATATGTGGGCACATGGCTACAAAGTGTGAGAAGGGTTTGTGTGGTATTTTTCTAAAACTTATCATTATTCTTATAAAGGAGCTAAAGTTTATTAATATAAATGAACCATGTTAGGCATGCTAATGATATTTGATTTTGCCTAAAGCTCCGTGTTAGATTTTTAATGTATTTCCAAATGTTTATAATCTGAGTAAGTGACTCATATTTCATTCAGTGTCAAAGTTGTCTTTGACTGTTCCCTCTCCCTCATGACCCCGTTTGTTCTTATCCGCGTCTAGAAAGACCTATGAGCGTTTCCTCCAAAACATATCTCTATTCCACAATACTTCTCTAATGTAGCTCATCCACTGAATTTCTATCTATACAGTCACCAAATCAGTATAGGTTCATGTCAGACTCATGGTTTACTTGGAATCATACTTCAGATGGAACACTTCTTCTCTCTTCACTTGAATGACTGGTTTCTCTGTGATGCATTCTCCATTCACAGCAATATCATCATCCTTATTCTTTGAAATACTCACTGCTTCATATCTGCAAAAGAAAATTAAAATTAAACATGGAAACACTAAGACTAGTAACAGCAACAACAAACTCCTTTTGGAATGCTGTTTATTTTCTAACCGCTCTGGTTAGTCTCACTTTCTAACCTCTACAGAACTCATCTTTCCCTCTCCCTTCCTCCCTTCCTCCCCCACTGTGTGTGTGTGTGTGTGTGTGTGTGTGTGTGTATGTGTGTATTCAGGTATCTTAGTACCTGAAACCCTGAAAGCAGTACCACAGCCAAAGGATGTCTCAAATACTGTCTCTGTTGCCTGTTGACACTCAAAAGAGTGTGTGACCATCTCCTTCTCTGAGTTTGTATCACAACTGGAAGATCTCTGTCTCCAGCAGATTGCTGTTGACACCTTGTCAGAGTAGGTTGTTGCCCTTTAATTTTTTTTTTAATCATAAACTGGTTGGCCTATTAGCTCAGGCTTTTTATTAACTAATTTTTACACCTTACATTAACCCATTATTCTTATCTCTGTTAGCCACATGGCTTGATACCTTCCATCAGCAAAGCATTTTCATCTTTCTTTCTTTCTGTCTGGGTGACAACTGCAAACTGAGTTTTCCTCTTCCCAGAATTCTCCTGTTCTTGTTGCCCTGTTCTACTTCCTGCCTTTTCACCCCACCTCTACTTCCTGCATGGTTGCCCCACCTATAACATCCTGCCTGACTACTGGCCAATCAGCATTTTATTAAAATACAAGTGACAGATCTTTACAAAGTACAAGACTGTTGTCCCACAGCACTCTCCCACACACACATTTTTTTCAAAACAGGAATTCTGAATCTAATCTCCCTTTTTCAGCTTTCTTTCCTCTATAGTAATTGTTATGCTCCTCAGATGTTTTTCAGAGTTGAACATTAAAAAGAAAATATCTTCACTACTGTCTTAGGTTTTAGAATAGAGTTGCCATGTAGAGGGATTATATGTATTTATATAAAGAATGTTGCATGAATACATGAATTATTTCACCATAAAATTCATCAATAATAAAAATGTATTATCTTATGTATCATCAACATTGTAGGTAATCAAACATCTAGCTTGTTTACAACTCTGCTTATGATTTTGAAGAAGTAAAATTAAAATTGCCTGGGATTCAATCCCATTTATCATCAGTACATGCAGTAATGTGTTCAAAGATAAGTAGAGTATTATGTATATTTAGGAAGACAGTGACAATAAGTGGATTAAAATATATTAAAAAGAAGTTGAAATATATGAACTAAAATGATTTCTCTATAAGTGGAAACTAATCAATAGTCTCATCACACTATTAGACTAAGACTTTAAGCATTTGAGGATCACCGAAATCACTGGTTAAGATACTAAAGTATTCGTTTTAATAAGGGCAGAGACTTGAGTAAACTCGGGGCATGGGCATATGCTGAGATGACCTCAAAGGTTCCTTATGATCTTATTGTTTCCTCTCAGTACTTGATGAAATTATCTTACATATTTGAAGTACTTATTTAGGAGGGCTCAGAGAGAGTGGAGGGGCCATGAAGATGCATCACCAGTACTGGGATAAAGATAGGTACTTCATCACTGATCCTGGTTAATGGTAGTATCATATAAAGAGAATTTTATCCCTTCCTCAGCATTTTGAATATGAAGTAAGTCTCTTTATTGCCTTCATTTTTCAAGATTCAAAGATTCCCCTTAAGACCCACAACCAAACACTAGACAGATCTCAGGAAATCCTGCAGAAGAGAGGGAGGAAGGATTGTAGGAGCCAAAGGAGTCAAGGACACCACAATAAACTCCCCAGAATCAACTAAAGAAAAGCAACTGACAACCAGGGAGCCTGCAAGGAAGTGACCTAGGCTTGGGAGGAGAGGAGGGAGGAGAAACTTAGGTCAGGATGTAAAAACAAAAATAAATACATACAAAAAAAAAACATAAAGTAAATGAGGACTGGAGAAATTGCTCAATGGTTAAGACCACTTGCTGTTCTTATACAGTTCCTAGCTCATACGGGGTGGCTCACAGTATTCAGTAACTCCCCTTCTAGGGGACCTGATGCCCTGTTCTGGCATCTGAGGGTATTACAAGCACATAATACATATGCAAACATGTAGCCAAAACACTCCTACATAGAAAACAAGAGCAAACTTTCTTATAATAAACAAACAACTTTGGTGTTAGTATTTTGTTGCAAAAGTAACTTTTGGTTGAGTGACCAGCTTTGATTAGTGTGTGAGTGTGTGTGTGTGTGTGTGTGTGTGTGTGTGTATGTGTGTGTGTGTGTGTGTATGTGTGTGTGTTCCCATTTGGCTTGGGTTTATTTTTCTCTGTTCAAATTTTGGCAATGTTTTATATTAAAAGGATCCATGAATTTTGACCAAGCATGTTGTAAAATTTGTTATTAATGTGACACACTGTCATAGTAAAGGGTTAGATTGGACCTGAGTACTAACTGAAAAAGGTCTTCCATTTTATAGCTCACTAATGATCTAGCTCATTTTATATAGGAATGTCTGGCATTTTCAGAATTAGGTGGAGTCATAGCAGCACTTGGCATGGCAAGGCTATATAAAATAGACTTTACGTGATGTCATAAAATACTATAAAAATTGTGAGAGGTCTTGGAAATATGTACATAATGCTTTTATGGAATCTCAGAGATTGATTTTGGTGTGCTGCTATCCTACAAAATGGAATTTCTTCATTGAGGGTTTTATTTACTCTTTCCTCTTTGCATTACTGGAAGGAAATGGCCTTCGGTAGCAAGGAAAGCCATCAGCCCTTGGCGGCTAAAAAAAGTAATGAAATTTGGATAGTCAAAACCCTTGTGGGTGGACAGGAGAAGTGCCAGACCATAATAAAGAGGGAAGGAAAGGGGAGACCTTGAGTGGTGCCAGAAAATACTCAGACAAATAAATGTGGATTGGCTCGATGTATAGAGCTGGGTGCTTCTGTCCTTGGAGTCCCACTGAGGAAATGGTCCTTTCTGGTTCTTTATTTAAAATAGCAATTATTACCAAAGAAACACACTGTCGTTGCTTATTTAATACAGAAAATAGAACTTTTTGGTTTTTTAAAAGTGGTAAAACAGAGACAAATTATCATAAATTGTTGTTTTTAAAAAAACCTATCATTGTAATTTCATTGCTAGCTACTTTGTGTGTCAAGGGTTGAGAGCACTGTGATTGTTCAGAATGTTCTTTAAAATAACTACTTTAATCTTTTTAAACAAAGCTTCCTGACTCCTTTATCGCAAATACAGTAAACCTCAAATGTACCTATGATTTTTTTCATTACGTATTTAGAGGAAATGAGCGCAATTTCTAGCACCCCACCCTGCAGTGAAGAAATGTCTGGCTTCCGTCTTTCCCTTTTGTCTGTCCTCTTTCCTCTGTTTCTTTTCGTAAGCATTTGCCATAAATGCCGCTACATACTCCACTGTCAAGTCAGACAAGACAAACAAAAAGAAAATTGACTTTGTAAATGAAGATTAATAATATCAGACAGGCGCATTAAGACATGTACAAGGACGGTAATTTTTAATGAAATTTGATGTGTATCGCAGGCCAAACAGGACTGCATGGTAACTACTCGGTGGCTTTTTAAATTTTGGGATAATGTCACTCGTTACAATCTTGCTTGTTGCTCATGAGGCATACATCTTGAAACCTGAAGTAATTAGGATAAAATATAATGTCAATATTTTCAAAGTCAAAATGAAATAAGTGTACATATTCAATTAAATATCAACAAGTAAATCAGATATAATAAATGTTCATCCTATTCCATGCATCGATTTGCATTCTATTAAGTAATTATCATTTCAAATCTATTGGGTAGCACTTCCTCAAGAACATGGCATAAGGAAATATGTAGTAAATAGGTAAAATAGAATGCTTTGCTGGCAAATTATGCTTTTACTTTCTCCTGTATGATAAAATTAATGTTTTTTTTCTGGCAAATATATTAGCTCCACTCTCTATAAATAATCCTACTAAGGAATAAAATATTTCAAAGTAAAGAGTTTGTATTCCACTCAACATATTGCTATGAGTGTCCAGATGGGCCTAGAACCCAAAATAAACCTTTCTTAACTGCACTTCCTGGTTGGTGGGAAACCAGCAAATGCAACCACACCTGGCTACATAAACCCTGATGTGTTACTCTGTGCAAACTCCTCTGCTCCTGGCAATTAACATGGAGAGAAGGGAAGTGGCATCCTCAGGGATCAATTGGGATCAAAGTCCTTATGATCTCTTCATTATCATATGACAGAATTTCAAGAATAAACTTGAATGGACTATGAAAAATGCCTCCGAAAATTCCTATTATATCCATATTCTGTTCCAGATCATTGTAAATCATGTTTATAAGATGCTAAAATCACATAAAGTAAATTTGTGCTTACTATAGTAGCACAACTTTTTATTCAAGATTTTTGTGTTAGTTGCTTTGCTTTTTCAGTTAAATCCGATGTCTCAAATTCAGTTTCATTCTCTGGAAAGTCATCAATATCCACTTTAATGATCGCTAAAGAAATAAATTATATTTGTGTATATTTATATATATGGCAAAAGTATAGTGATAAATATATACTTTTACTGTGCACACATGATGAGTAGGCATTAAATAATAATGGTTATTCATTTGGAAAGCTAGCATATTATAATAAGGATTGTTTTGATCATATTTTAAATATAATCGACAATACAGATAATTATTTTTATTTTATATAGAGTTCAATGATTATTGATGAGACTTTTCTCTAGCAAGTTTAAAAGGCAATTATCAGTTTTCATTTCTAAGTTACTACCATTTCATTTTGAATTTAACATTCAGTTGGTTAAGCATTTTGATAAAGGTCATTGCTGAACATTTTATATGAAGTATCTAAAAATTAAGAAGGAAAATATGGATGAATCTTGAAAATGAAGAGATAGATAATGCCCTTCTTTATTTCTGTCATCCTTTCGAACATGCACTATGATAATTCTACATTAAAGAAGAATTTCATTGATGGAAGTTATCTGTCAGATGTTCTACTAGCACTTTCGGTAATCAATAGTTACTTATCAATGTAGCTGTTGTCACAATATGGGTCTCATTGTGTAACCTAGAATCACTGGTCTGTGTTTGCCTCTCTCTCTCTCTCTCTCTCTCTCTCTCTCTCTCTCTCTGTGTGTGTGTGTGTGTGTGTGTGTGTATGTGTGTGTGTACTTTATATAACTGTCAGTGTTATATATATATATATATATATTACTTTTAAGGGATATTTTGGAAACTATATATCTGAAAAGTTCTTACCTATAAATGCCATTCAAATTTGCTCTAATAATTTTCTATCCAAATTATATCTTAGAACTTTCAAAGAAGCAAAGTTTCTGGGCATGGAACAAAATATCTGTCACAATCTCTATGTACATGACATACTAATAAAAATCAGAACCTTGTAATGTAATCCTTAAATAAGGGTAATAGTTTAACAGGTTTTATTCAGTGTTTTCTTCAGAAGCCCACAATTCTGCAGTTACAGAAAACAATGGGCCATATACTGCTGGACATTGACTAACACTACTCTAAAGATACTAGAAAAGAGACAGATAGTGAAAATGTTTCTGTTAGGGTGGACATGACAATATCTCGTTGAAATTACTGATAGTAAATGTATTAGTTTAGTAGTCTTACTAAGGAAGATCCCACTTATACAGAGCCCAGTGTCAAGGATTTGCAGCTGTTCCCTTTGAAAGGTAGGCCCCAGTCATTCTTTCAGGTGCGGATAGTAAGATGGAGAATTAGCCAGGTTTCCAACAGCTCAGTGAGTGATCTCTAAATTTTAGCAATGTGAATATTTTTATTTATTTATTTATTTATTAAAGATTTCTGCCTCCTCCCCGCCACCGCCTCCCATTTCCCTCCCCCTCCCCAATGTGAATATTTTTAAGGTTAAAAAAACATTCGTGGCTAGAAGTGTAACCCCAGTTGATAAAAAGTTACCTTCTGTAAGGAAGTCACTTTCCATAAGTATGATCAGCAGAACCGATCTAAAGTGACCTAGCAATAGTGGCCTGTCTTTTGAGTCTCAGCGTTAGAAACATGAGGCCACTGGGATATATTTTAAATTCTTCTATTTGTTGAGTTCCAGTCCAGCAGAAGACTCTATCTGAAATCAAGCAAATAAAACAAGAAAAACCCAATCTTCTAAAAGGTACAGAGCACCTGATAAACAACACTCAAGGTTTTATTGTAGTCTTTATATGCATATGTACACACAGAGACACACTTACACATAAACACACACATTTATACATATGAACATATATACACACACAAATGCTGTTCATATACAGAGACACATAAATGCCCTTCCTTGTATATATGTATGCATGTATGTATGTGGGGGGATATATATGTATAAATAGTGGGTGCTTATGTATTTATATATATGGGCTTATTCAACACAGAAACGTAGAAACATCTGGTAGTTTAACTAATTATTCAATAAAAGCTTTTAAATATGTAATGGGGCTAAAGTAATCCATATTTGTAATTAAATAGTCAAACCACATCACAACAATACTAAAGAAAAAGGATAAATGGGAAGATGGAAAAATGCTCAGTGCTCATCTTACACTTGAGGAGCATATTCTGCTTAAATGGAAGTTGAAACCGAGGTTGAAATTTCGGAAGAGTTACTGTATATTTGAAATGTCATGTTTTTTTTTTAGAAGTCCAGCAGCTGCTTATTGGTGTGATGTGATTGCAATTATTGTTGTCATGAGTTGTTTAACGTGAGAGAGAAGAAGCAGTCTTTCCAGGGAAGGCCTGAGGTGACTAAAAAACCATTTATTCCCCAAAGAAAAGAACTGCCATGAAGCATGGTGATGTTCTGGATGTTAGGAGGCCGGGAAGTAGAGGAAATGAGATGGCCTGGTAAAGAACAAGCAGGAGAGAAGAGGACAGTGTTTGTTTGAAGAAATTTTGTGGCTTGAAAAGTATGAATTTAGACATTTTAAATGAATGGATTATGAATATTTCTACTACTACACACATTGCTATACTCAAATGAAGCCTAAACCACAGTATTTTTACTCACAGTCAATTATCCCCCCAAATTAGTGTCTCTTTAACATTAGTATTTCAAGAAGATTACCCTTTGGAGATTTAGAAGTATTTTTAGAAGATCAATTTATTTTACATTATTGTCCTAATAATTGTGTTAATAGATTATTCTTTTAACATTTTTCTTAATAGAGTTCAAGTCAGCCTAGACCACGTAGTGAGAACTTTTCCCCCAAAAGAGCATAGGGATTTGACCTCTGAATTCTGTGATATATCTTAACCTCTTAAGTGACTGAGACTTACACCTTGTCCACTAGATTGCTAAGGTTTTTGAAAACTATAGTGAGATAGCATTTCATAGTTGGTAAGACAACTTGTATGCTCTTGGCAGGAATGTTGAAATGATGTAACTACTATTTAAACAGTATGACTTCCTTAAAATGTGTGTCTGACTCTTTTGCCTACTCTTGGGACTCTTGTCCTCCTTTTGGGTTGACTATTCCAGCCTTGGTATGAGGGCTTTTGCCTTGTTGTATCTTGCTTTACTGTGTTTAGTTGGTATCTCTCACAAGCCTGGTCTTTTCTGAAGGGAAATGGGGAAAGTTGATCTGGGGGAAAGCAGAGATAAGGGCAGAGTGGGAAGTAGTAGAAGGAAGGAAAACCATGGCTAGGGTACATTTTATGAGAGAAAAACATTTTTTTCAATAGGAATATTAAAATACAGTTACCATTTTGTACCAATCCAATCCACAGTTTCTATCAAAGGAATTGAAATCAGAACCTCAAAGAAATATCACTTCCCTATGTTCATGAAGATTATTTAAATAGTGAAGTACTGGAAATGACATTGTGATAAATTCAAAAAGAAAATTTGGCATATGCTTCCAAATGAATGTATTTAGCCTAGACGAAAGAAATCTTCCCACTTCTGTCAGAGTAGATAAACCTTGAAGTCATGCTATCTAAAACCAGCTGGGAGGGGTTAATGACTTATCTGAAATAAGTAGATGTAGTAGGAAAAGAAACTAGGGAAGTGATAGAGTGAGTGGGGGTTGTCAAGTGTTTTCTATAGATTTAAAATAGGTCTACAAGATGGATAAGTTCTAGTTATTGAGCACACAATGCAGTATGTGTAGTTAGCAATATAATGCTAGACACTTAAGAATGGGTTCAGGTTCTACACTGGAACCCAGCAGTAAGGTGATTATGTAACATCTGTGAGCCCTTGAACTTGATCTACAGTTCTGAAAGAAACAACAAACACAGGCTCAGACACTTCCAGAAGAATATGTTGGACAACAAGCCTGCAGTGTAAACTTCGGTTAGATCCCTGTTGGCATACAAAAAGAGTTCCCACAGCAGATCCTCAGGAATTACGTGTTGGAATCAGAAAACTGATTCCCAGTGGGACTGGTCTCTGGACTCTGGAAGTAAGCTGTGGCTTGGGCCTCCCCAAATGGACTCTATTTTTTTAAAGTCTTTTCTTCAGAATTTCATGCTTGTGTACAATGCAACATGATAATATCTAACCCTTTGCCCCTCACCAAATTCCCTCTATGTCTCCTCCAACATGTCCCCTCTCAATTTCATTTTTTGGATAATCCATTGCATCCAATTAGAGGCACCCTTTTTGCATTGGGTGTGGAACCATCATCTGAATCACGGGAAATTTACCAGTGCTCCATCCTCAGGAAAGAATAACTTTCCCCCAGCCTAACTATCCATTGCCAATATTTCCTCAGGACCTGGTAGAGTCTAGAGATCATCTACATCACTAATGTTAAGACTTTTATCCCACTTGATCTTTTATAGATTTTGTGTAGGTAAGAGCAGCTGTTGTGAGATCATGACTTCAATAGACGTGTCATATTCAGGAAGCAGCATTTCACAGAAGTACTCCACATCCTCTGATTCATATCTTCCCCACCTTGTTCCTCAATATTCCCTGGGCATTGGCCTTCACACAGATATCAACCCCTTATTCTCACTAATTTGACCAATTATACATCTTTCCATGGAATGTTATCCATTGCAAAATGAAGTTTCACTGATCAAATAAGAGGCCAAGTATAGTAACATATAGTATATGTTTCAAAAAAGTTTGACAACATAGCTACTTAGACATACAATGAAGAATCTCCACAGAGGCCTAAGATCTCTACCATGGGCTTTTGATTAGGATTACTGGGCCACTGAAGCAGGCCTCAGATCCAACAAGAGAGCAGCTAGTTACCCCATGACGGTAGTGTTACTATTGTGCCAGTAGGCACATCTTGCCTGGCAGGTTGATGATGTTGCAGTATATAGGGTCAGTGCCAAATACAATCACTGATGCCTCCTCCACCCCCACAGCAGCCTGAAGAGCTTCTTCTTGTACTATGGACTCTAACCAGCAGCATGGAACTTCCCTGTTTTGAGATTAATTTCTTTATGTCCAGCAGCCAAGGTGTGTGATGTCTTCAAAAATATAGGATCTGAAGACTAGTCTTGGCTTAACATACCTGGGAAGATGAAACCTCTATTAATGAATTGGGTTAATCAGATTGACCTGTAAGTGTGTCTATGAGGCATTTTCTTGATTGCTAATGGAAGCAGGATGGCCAAGCTCACAGAGGACAGTACCAACCCTAGGCAATTAGGCCCGAGCTATGTAAGAAAGGTAGGAGACATGAGACTGGAAGCAAGTCCAGAATTGTGTTGCTACAAGGTCTTTGCTTCAGTCCCTGCCTCCAGATTTCTGTTTGGCTTCCTTCAATGATAGGCTGTAATTTGCAAGGTGAAGTAAACCCTTTCTTCATCAAGTTGCATTTAATTGTGGTATGGAATACAGCAACAGAAAAGCCAGAGAAGAGGCTTACCATCGAGTTATGATGGGTAACAAAGGGCAATGACTGTATCCTGTGTTGTTTAGGAGACCTCTAGACCCCCCACCCCCCATGGCCAATAATTCACCAGAAGATGTCCCAGGCCCGGTACCGTGATTTTTTGTTTAATAACCCGTGTCTGTTGGAAGTGACATTACTTGCCCAAGCAAGGCAAATCCATTCAAACTCTTCTGTACGTTGTATTTTGAAATGAGCTCTACTACCAGTGACTTTTCTACAATCAGGAAAGCACAGGAATTTCTTCTGTTTAACCACAATTGTACTTCCAGGCCAGGGCCTTAGAATTAAGCTTTCTGTGGATGACTGAGTGGACATATGTTAACATGTACTAAAGTTGGTACATTAAAAAAATGCTAAAATGCTAATTTTTGTAAAGGTGAAACATTAACCAAAGATACTGAAAAGATGAACTATGGATCAGAGGGAGACAGCTGCAATCTCCTAGGGCTAGTGATCAATCATTAAGCACCATTTGGCCATTCTCCAGAATGAGCAGGACAGGTTTTGGCATCTAGGCTGGTGCTGGTGCCACTGAGGTTTGTGGGGAAAGAGGCCCTGGCAGGATCCCAAAGACCTGGAGAGGGTATGCCCAGGCGTCTCCGGCTACTTTCCAGAAGCCTCATATCTGTTCTCAGCATTTAGAGTTTCAGACAGCCCTTTGCTCTCTTACTTTTTAACCCCCCTTTCTTCCTTGAGGATGTCTGTGTTGAGCAGCTGTCCAGGTAATATTGCAAACACTATAGATTTCCCTGAGAAAAACGTGAAGACGTAATGCTAGTTGTGAGAGGAACATAATAAATATCCTCCATTCCTCATAATTGTATTTTAATAAATACTATAAAGGAGTATAAGACATGACAGAGAGGTGTGAAGAAAGGAAGCAATGGCTAAGTTGGTCAGAAAGCAAGGCTGAGACTAGTACTTAGTAACTCCTTTGGTTTGAGATTACTACCCATGGCTAGAAGTCTGTGTGGTAAGTCAGTGCTACAGTGACCATCAAGGGACAAACTAGAAAAAAGGAGGACAGACTGTGTCTCTTTTTTTACTCAATCCCTTTCTGGAGATACATAACACAATCAGAATAAATGAGTTAGAAATTAAGAAATTTTCATGAAAAAATTGTATTGTTTCATTTTGGTTTGGTTTGCACAAAAATATTTCATATTTTCTTTCTACCTCTAATGAATTATTAC